CTTCCGAATTTTGCTTCTTTGAAAAAATAATTCAAAATCATGCAGGAAAGAAAACAAAAATATGAATTGCAAAAGTATGGGTAGGGCAGAAGAATGAGAAATAAAGAAGGAACTAGAAAGTGGGGGAAAAGAAGGCAAAACAAAAACAGCTGGAATATTGGATCTTGAATTCACAAATTTTAAAATATAGTCAACTTGTATTTTAGAGAAGTTGGAGGGAACGAAAATCTTGAATTCACAAATTTTAAAATATAATTAACAATCTCTCGAACGCCCAGAAAATACACTAACTCAATATGCTCATGAGTGAACAATATAACTCAACTATTTTCTCTGAATTTCGTGATCTAGTACATATAGACAAAACACAAATTTTAATTAGATAAGGTCATCTTAGGTTGACACGATCTTTATCATCCTTCATTTATGGTAAGTTTCTATCATGCAGATACACATATGTGATTTGGAGATTTTCAAAATGGCGTTTCCAAAATTGTGCAGGAACATGACCTTTTTTAAATAATTATGGTAACTCGTCATTTTATAGTTCTTGTTGCATATTTCTTGTCATACAAAACAAGAGTGTGAAAACTAATTATGGTATGCAATCCAACTCATTAATATAAGCGACATATATAGTAAATAAATATATATAAAATATATCTTATCTAATCATTATCCTCAAAAGGTAGGATTCCATAATACAAATTATAATAAACTAGTACGAATCTAGTGTGATGCACGAGTAAGAGATATTCATTAATACTTATAAATTAAAAATTTTTAGTAAATAATATTTATAAATTAAAAATATTTAATACAATTTACCTATATTAATTTATTGAAAATGTTATATGAAATTTAAATTAAGCAACATTACATAAAACGTGTTTATTAAAAATTAGTACACAATTCGTACGGTGCATGTAACTGATAAAAAAATTACATTATATTCATTTCAAAATAAGTGTCATTTTAAAATTTTTATTCAGAAATTCGAGCTAACTAAAATTTTTATTCAGAAATTCGATTTAACTACAATGTGATTTCATAAAATAAATATTTTGGTAAAATGTTATCAAATATTTAAAAATCTATGTGAATAATAAGTATAATTATAAAATTTATATTGTTTCATTAATTAAAATGAGTTTATGTTAGTATAAACTATCCAAATCAATAAAATTAAGTAGTCGATCAATTTATTAAACCATAAATAATTTACTATTTCATTTACGCCCAAGTTAATATTGATCCGTAAGTTGTGAATAATAAGTCATTTGACTTTTAAAATTGAAACCCAAATTTGGACTACACAATACATTCTCTTATATATTTCATATATATATATATATATATATATAATATAATATCTCGCAATTTTCTAGATTTGTTGTCGATTACCTTATCGTTCAAATTTATCAGATCTTTCTGATTTTCAAGAGGAATACATACCAATTTGCTAAATTATCATCAATATCTTATGGAAAGTTATTATTGAAATCTGCTAAAATTTGAGAATCATATCACCTTGATTTTACAACAAATCAACCTGAAATTCCACTTTCATACTCATACCAAATAAAATTCATATTACTTATTTTATTTTCAAAATTTTCAAATACGTCGTGTTGTCTCTTGTGGTACATCATCTTGCGCACTCGGTATGCAATTATCGTCCCTCAACTTATTGAGAATAATCTCACTCTTGGACTTATGCTCACTCATATAGTCTTCCTCTAAACACTGGGCATTAGTGCTCATCACCACCCTCTAGTCTTTAGGACTATACAAATAACCACCTTTCGTTCCCTTGGGGTAACCTACAAACAGCCGAACTTCTGTTCTAGGTGCCCACTTATCAGCTTTCTTGTCCAACACATGTGTTGGGTAGCCCCAAATCCGAATGTGGTTTAAACTGGGCATGTGCCACACCACAATTCTATAGGTGTTTTAGGAACCGATTTAGAAGGCACAAAATTAAGAAGGTACGCCGTCGTTTCCAAGGCGTATCCCCAAAACGAGGTAGGTAATGAAGCGTAGCTCATCACCGATCTCACCATTTTTAATAGAGTCCTATTCTTTCTTTCTGTTACGCCATTCTATTGGGGAGTAACAAGCACAGTCAGCTGCGATGTAATCCTATTTTCCAATAAGTATTGCCCAAATTCATTGCTAAGGTATTTGCCACCACGATCAGATCGTAGTGACTTAATACTTTTGCCTTGACGGTTCTTCACTTCTACCTTGAATTCTCTAAACTTGTCAAAGCATTCAAACGTGTGGTGCATCAAGTAAATGAATTCATGTCTCGAGCAATCGTCAATAAAAGTAACGAAATACTCAAAACAATATCTAGCTTGAATCGACATAGCCCCACACAAATCAAAGCGAATCAATTCCAACATATCACTGAACCTATTACCTTTGGCCTTTAAAGGCCTAGAAGTCATATTATCTTCCAAACAGGATTCGCAGACTGGAAACGGTTCATCATAGGGTCTTAGGGTTCTTAGTCATTTTTCTACCATTTCCTATTTTATTGCAATTTAAGGACTTTCATGCATTAAAGTTTGTGTCTTGCTTGTCAAAGTTTGAATCTTACTTCCAATCTTGCCTTCAAATTGCATTTTTTAGCTTAATTCACCCTCTCAATTTCTATTAGAGTGTTTAGGACCTTTACATTCCCTTTTGTGTGAATCAATCTTTGTCTGAATTCGTCAGTACAGAGATCCGATGGTTGTGATTTAGCCGATGTCCATCAGCAAATGCTGAGCTTCTCGTCCCCGAGCTCACAGTCTGCGGCATTGTCTTATTACCATCAGACGTCAAGCGGCTTTAGTAGAAACTCTAGTGAGCCTTAAAAAATTTGAAAAATCTTTTTTTTACATATGGGTTGTTTTGAGGTATCTTTTGCATGGAAACCTGGTAAATGTTATAGTTTTTGAAGAAAAATTTGTTAAAGGGGTTTGCAAAGATTACTTATAACGGATGTGGGTGGATTTTGTTTGCATGGAAACCTAGGATAGGTCGATCTTCCCACCCTCTCTCTTGCCTACTTCGCCCATTACCAGTAAAGCCTCTTTGAGCATTACCTTGTGCTGAAAAATTGACTGTGGGAACAGATCCTTCAACATTTACCTGAGTTTGTCAAATCTTTCAAGCCTGGCTTTAAAAGTGAGCAAAAGTGAAGTAACTTCTGCTATTGAGATTGAATCTGCCCTTGAAGATATAGTGACCACAATAGGATTGTATTCTGGACCTAGGCCTGCCATAATGTGGAGAAGGTGATCTTCTTGAGATATTTTGCAACCGGCTGCAGCAAGAGCATCACAGATGCTCTTGATCTTGTTGAGGTAATCTCTCATGGACTGAATTCTTTTCTTGCTGGTTTGAAGCTGCTCCTTAAGCTGTAGGACCTTGTCTCTTGACTGACTCGAGAAACTTTCCTCCAAGATAGCCCAAATCTCATGAGCTGAGTTGAGCCCTACCAAAGTGATCAAAATATTTTCTGAAAGAGATGATAGCAACCATGACACAAGGAGCCGACCTTGCTTGGTCCAGCTGATATGTTGTGGATCCAAGCTTCCATCTTGAGTGTAGGGATTGCTAGGTCCTTTTTCTTGACCACTAAGATAGCCTTCTAGGCTATACCCCTTCACAACAGCAAGAATCTGGTATCTCCATATTATGTAGTTGCTCTCATTTAGCTTCACTGTGATAAGTTGACTTAGAGATTGAAGGATTTGATGAGGGTTTATTATGATCTCTGATGAAGAGCTCATAGTGAAGGGTGTTGCAGGTCAAAGAAGAAGATGGGGATTTTAGATTAGGCCCCGGGATTAAACTCACGGCTCTAATATCATATTGAACAAGCTTATCAGACTGAGCAAGATACAAAAGCTGGGAAGATGATATCTTTTCATTGTTAACATTCAGGATGATTTTTCTGATCATTCAACATCTCAACGAGGGTCTTCAATACACAACCAAAGAACTATCTAGAAAGAGGATCAAAATACAAAATAAGGAATATGATGAGGTGTCTTGATGATGTCACAAGGTGAAAATGCAACACCTTGAATGAATGTCGTGCATGGCTCGTCCTTCCTGCATGGGAATAATGTGTTGTAGATGACCAAGAGAGGACTCCTTTGGCTGTAGGTTAGGTTAAGTCCTTAGACTGCACATTATCATTAAGATTAGCTTCTCTAATACCTTCGCACTTCATCAACGCATAATTTTGTTGCTCATTGTAAATTGGCCTTTATGTTTAATCAATTACATTTATGAGCATAAAAAACATTTATGACCTTTTAAGTTTGTATTTAAACAATAAAATAAAGATAAAAATTTCATAGACGAAATGAAGTTTACCAATTGTATGAACTATTAAATAAAAAAAAAAATGACCTATTAAATTGGATACCAATTGTATCCAAAGTGATTTAATAATATGACCTACTCCCTCCTATCTTTTTTATTTGTCATTCTAGGTTAATAGGTTATTCACTAAATAAATGTCGTCCTACCAATTTTGTTCATACTTTTTCAATTTTAGCCCTTCCATTTATTACAGAGCGGCTCTTCATCTCCAACTAGTACAGAGCCCGTGCGATGCACGGGGTGCACAATTTTAAGGCTATTTATCCAGGCTTATAATTATATATATGAATAAAGAAAAATGTACGGGATATATATAGTACGTGACCCGTGCGAAGCACGAGATATATTTATTTGGAGAATATTATATTATAAGATGCAATATTCAATAAAAGTTTATAATACGCAAATCGTACAATGTTCAATAAAAGTTTTAGAATATTCAAGTGGAGTCTTAAAGTCTTTTGTACATTAAGACTACTGACAAAATAATATTTTAATCAATGAGTTTCCTTTCCTTGTAGCCAAATTGTGAATGTGATTTCATGAGTACAACAAATCGATATATAGCTGACTTGCTTTTTTCATTGTAGTTTTTTTTTCTTTTTTTTTTATAATGAATTTAAAGATATTCTAAAATATAGCAAAAATTAATTTTTTTTATTACAATTAGGAATGTTACTAAATATAAACTCTCAATCTATGGTGTTAATCAACGTTTAAGTCTAAAAAATTAGGAATTTTTACCTCTTTTAATCAACGTTTAAGTCTAAAAAACAATAGAGTTATTATAAGTTTTTTTTTTTATATTTTTTAAAACATCTATTACTATATAATACGGAGAAGAAAAATTATTTGAACAATATGACCTACTCCCTCCTATCTTTTTTATTTGTCATTCTAGGTTAATAGGTTATTCACTAAATAAATGTCGTCCTACCAATTTTGTTCATACTTTTCCAATTTTAGCCCTTCCATTTATTACAGAGCGGCTCTTCATCTCCAATTTCCATCATTTCCAGAACATCCATCACGATTCCCATGGATATCTATATGTTTCATCTCACTTTATTTCTCTATATCCATCTTCCACAATTTTTTTCTAATCCTTTGATTTGGTTCAATTGTTCACTTTTTTTTTTCCTCTTTCCATTCATGGATTCAGACGGGAATGGTGCTTCACGCAAGCTACTTTTAGATGAAGTCCTTCAACTATTGGAGAATACAAAGGCGAGTTTAGATGTTGCTCATTCAATCGCTTTGCAAATTAGTGATTCAACAGAGACATTTAACGTGTATGTGTCCGATTCGAACATTGAAGACGATGCTCATCAACATTCTCGCTCCAATCTCTTTACAATTGGAACTAGTTTTTCAAAAGGTAAAAGTGCAACAATGGTTGAAGAGAAGTCTGTTGTTGGTGAAGCAATTTCTTGCCCCAATGATCAAGTTGTGAACGAGATGCTGAAGATTTTTGTGCCAGATCTATTTACCGAAAAGCTCCCGACCAACGGAGCAGATTTGCTTTGAGCGGAGTGTCTTTTTCGTCTATGTTTATTCGACCCAGTAATCTATTGTTATTGTTGTTGTTATCATCTTGTTGGATTTGGTCTAGGTACTGGCAGCACTTTTTTTTCTACAAATTCAGAGGGAGTGTTTATCTCTCTGACTTAAAAAATTGTTGTTATGAGACTCCATATTGAATTAAAGTTTTTTTGCTCCTGGGGTTTTGTTAATGTACTGTAATTTCAATTTGAATGTTGATGTGTTATGGGAGTTGTTGTCAGTGTACATATAATTCATCTGCCATTGGAGTAAAAAAATTCCATCTGTCATTGGTGTTGGTAATATTTTTGGGCAAGTAATAACCGAGTTACCCGACTCGGGTCGTTCTCTAAGGAAGGTTAGCCGGATTAAATTGTATGTTTATTCAATTCACAAAAGAGAAAATATTCCTAAACATTCTAATTCAATTTAATAATGGGGTTTTAAACTAAATTAAAAGTAACATAAATGCTATCATTTTACTCTGAAAACCTTTCAAATGATAAAGTCGTTTTACTAGTAAATACTTTCTAACGATAAAATCGTTTTACTCGTAAATACTTTCAAACTAAAATTTGTTCTACTAGTAAAAACTTTCAAACAAATAAATTGTTCTACTAGTTAAATACTTTCAAACTATAAAGTTTTAAGGAAGAAAAGAGAATAACTAAAATGACAAAGATAAGTTTTAATAAATGTAAAAGT